AAACTTCATATATGCTCTGGTAATTTACTGAACGAATGATTAAATAATTACGATTAATCATATATATGTTTCCTTGAAAACAATCATTAAAGTGAATAGAATTAAATTTCATACTCACAGAATTAAACTTCGTATATGCTCTAGTAATTTATTAAATGAACAATTAAACAATTATGATTAAACATATATATATTCTCTTGAAAACAATTATTAAAGCAAACAGAATTAAATTTCATATTTATATAATTAAACTTTGTATGCACTCTGGTGATTTATTAAACAAATAATTAAATGATTACAATTAATCATACAAATGTTCTTTTGAAAACAATCATTAAAGCAAACAGAATTAAATTTCATATTTACAGAATTAAACTTTATATACGCTCTGGTAATTTATTAAACAATTAAACAATTACAATTAATTATACATATATTCTCTTGAAAATAATAATTAAAGCAAACAGAATTAAATTTTATACTTAGAATTAAACTTCATATACGCTTTGGTAATTTATTGACCGAATGATTAAACGATTACGATTAATCATACATATGTTCTCTTGAAAACAATCATTAAAGCGAACAGAATTAAACTTCATACTCATCTTGAAAGTTTTTTTCCAATGATTTTTGATATATAATAATTGTGAGTTATCATAATAAACTAACATATATGTAAATCTTGTACGTAGCAAAGCCCAAAGTTCTTACTCATTATATTAATCTTCATGGTCACTCTAAACCAAAACCTGTCATAATGATTATCAACAGGATTCAGATTCTTATGAATCGATGCTCTTTTATTACAGATTATTAATCCGGGTACTAATTTAACCAGTTACACACATAATTATTATATTATTATTATTATTATTATTATTATATCTATTCCAAACCCAACAGGGGTTTGGTTATTATCATGACAATATGTTACACAAATTGAACAATTATCATGTGAGAAAACTTTCTTCAAAAAGATTTCTCGACAAATAACAATTCAAATTTGATGAAAAAGTTTCATTTTGATTCTATGAGTTCTCAGTATTAAAAAAAAAAATATTTAATCTAATTAAATTGCAGGTTTTCAAAAAATTAAAAATCTAGCTGCAGCTTCTTTTTAAGACATCAAAAAATTTGAATGAACAAAGATTGCATGGCACTTATCCAGTCAAATTCAATCAAAATTTTTTTATTTAACTCTGTATTCTCAAAGAATTAAAATAAAAAAAATTTAATTGAACTTGAATAGAAATTTCTCAAGGAAAATTCATTAAAAGTCAAAAAAAAATCTGGCCACAGCTTCTTTTTCAAGACATTAAAAATTTGAATGAAGATTACTTAGCATTTACCTGATCAAATTCAATCAATTTTTTTTTATTTAATTCTGTGAGATTACTGACTTAAAATAAAAAAAAAATTGTTCGAATTTGACCAAGTAAATGCCAAACAACTTCGTTCAACTTTTTGATGTCTTAAAAAAAAAGCTGCGGCCAGATTTTTTTTTGACTTTTAATGAATTTCCCTTAAGAACTTTCTATTCAAGTTCAATAAATTTTTTTTTTATTTTAATTCTTTGAGAATACAGAATTAAATAAAAAAATTTGATCAAATGGAATAGCAAGTTTCAAGAAATATTCATTAAAAGTCAAAAAAAATGTGCAAGTTTTTTTTCCATTCTTCTACTTTGGTCCAACTACAAAATAAAAATAATCCTCTCATATTCGCAAAGTAAGCCACTTAGGATTAGGCGGATCTAATTTAACTAATGTCAGCCCAAGCACTCGAGATATTGATCCCTCTTTATGACCCAGAAGAATTATTTTTGATTTTCTGAGTAAAGAAGTGTTTAATCAGAGAGCTTCTAGTGTTTCTTTAATATAAAATAGAGTTATAAAGGAGAAAAATAAGTATATGAATAATTGAGAAGATATTCACCCAGATTTTGTTAGAGAATAACATGGCAGAACTTATTAGCAAAGGTGAGAGGAGTTCCATTTAACTTATTAAGATCTCAGGAATGAATTCCTATTGGCTTTAAACCAAATTTCTATTATGAAGTTCAAGAATAAAAAGATCAAATCTGGCAGCTTCTTTTTCAAGACATTAAAAATTTGAATGAAGATTACTTAGCATTTACCTGGTCAAATTCGATCAATTTTTTTTTATTTAATTCTGTAAGATTACTGACTTAAAATAAAAAAAAAATTGATCCAAATTTGACTAGGTAAATGCCAAGCAACTTCATTCAACTTTTTGATGTCCTAAAAAAGAAGCTGCAGCCAGATTTTTTTTTTTGACTTTTAATGAATATTTCTTGAGAACTTGCTATTCAAGTTCGATTAAATTTTTTTTATTTAAATTCTTTGAGAATATAGAATTAAATAAAAAAAGTTTGATCAAATTTGACCAGGTAAGTGGCATGTAATCTTCGTTCAAAGTTCAAAGGAGGAAAATTTTACCTGATTTTTCCAATATTTTAAGCTTTTTTTTTAAATTTTAGTGATGATTTTTCGATACCTGTTGAAGAAAATTCAATAAACTTTTTTTTATTTTAATTCTACAAATCTATAGGATTAAAATAAAAAAAAATTTTACCGAATTTTATCAAGTAGCTATTGAGGAACTATTGCTAGAAGTAAAAAAAAACTTTTGAATTTATTAATTGGATTCGCCATTTGAACATTACACAAAAAGGATAATCATCACATGCGGGAAAAATTTCTTGGAGGTGAGGTGTATAATTTACTTTGAGCTAATTAAAAAACAACGTGATGAACCTGGCTATTAAGTTGATGCCAAGTTTGAAGGAGCAGACAATTATTTGATTGGTCTTTTTTGGATGCAACCAAGCCAGATTCAATTGTGGAGTAGGTTTTATAATGTTGTTCTTATAGACACAATCTTTAAAACTAATCAATATTTGATGAAACTTTGTCTTGTAATAGTTATTGATAATCATAACCGTTTATGTTTAGTAGTGACTGCAGTTATTTTGATAAGACAAAAGAGACATTTTCATAGATTTTAGAAAATTTACTCAAAGCATCAAATGGTTTTGCACCAAAGCTGTTATTTACTGACGCTGACTGTGCAATGGTAGCTGCTATAAATGAAATATTGCCAAGTACAAAACATTATTTTTGTCTTTTCCATATTAGGAAAAATCTGAAAAATGTTTTCTTAGTAAGTAAAAATGGCATAAATTCTTTAATATGTTTTGTTATATATGAAATAGTTAAGTTGAAGAAAAATTTGAAGAACAATAGGTAGACATGCTGCAAAAGTACCCAGATTCTACATCTTATTTAAAAAGACAACTTTATCCCTACTGAGAAGCATGGGCACTTTGCTTTATACATAGATCATTTAATGCTGGTGTGCAAACTATGCAAAGGGTTGAATCTTATAATAGCATCATCAAAAAGCACATTAATGGCACTTAATCTCTGTTTGAATTAAGCAAAACTATTGAAAAATTGCTCATTAAAGAGGATCAATATCAGCATATCAATAAAGTTGTAGGCATTTTACCAAATATTCATAGTGATGACTACTATAATAAATACTTTAAGTTAGTAGATGAATCATGTCAAAAATTTTTGACAGCAGCAATTCTTAAGATTCAATGCTGTGAAATAAACTATAGCATTTATTATTGGGCATGTTTAGCAGATTTAGATTATGAGCTTAAAAATAAGGTATGCTTTAAGTAAAATAAACTCTTTATGCTATTAGATTGTTATATTGTAATATTAAATAATGAACATTATTTGTTAGATGGCTAATACTGATAATATACTAGCTGGAATATTTAGCAATGATATGTTTGACACATTTATTATTGAACTTGAACAATTAATTAGTAATATAAATTATTTATGTATTTGTGAAATTTGGAAAGTTTCATCACTTGACATGAAGAGATATTATTTTGTATTATTATTTGATGAGACAATGCATCTTTGCACATGTTTGACATTGATTAATTGTGGCATTGTCTGTCAGCATTTTTTTGCAGTTATGCTGTTATCAAAGGTTACTAAATTTCATATTGGGCTCATATCACATAAATGGTATTTAGATAAAATAGTTTGTGAAGCAAATATTAATATTGCAAATAAGCCAGCAATTTTAGCAATATCTGGTGATCAATTTGGGCTATTTAAGTATAATCTATATATTAATTTTACACACCTCAATAGCATTCATAGTAGTCACATATTTACAAATGAAGTTCGCAAAAAGATATCACTTAAGCAGCAATGAGTTAAAGGGTATAGTATTTTAAAGAAGACTTTTAAGCTAGCAATTGCTACAGGAAGATGTTAAGAGTTATATGAACTATATCTTAAACTCTCAGAGGAAATAGAAATAGAACTTATAGTACCAAATAGCCATAATAGTTTAAATGATGATTTCTTTAAATTTGCAACTAAAATTAGCAATCCTAATGGCATTCGATCAAAGGGCCGAAAACCAAAAAATGCAAAAGCAACTATATTTAATGATAGTAAATACAAAAAAAAGTCAAAACCAAAATTCACAAGTCAAGTTAATTCTAGTAAAGCATTGAATATTCATAAAGATCATAGAGATAAATTGCAAGAAATTACAAAATTTGAAATTAGAAAGAATTTTACTAATCGTGAGAACATATCTAGCAATTGTAGTGTTTGTAATTAATAGATTATAACTTTAATATACAAACTTGAATTGGTCTAACCAACAACTCAGCACTATAGATCAGGATTCTAATGACTATGATAATATTGGGAAATCTTTGTTATAAGTTACAAGACATTCTAAAAGATTAATTATAAAGGGTAAGGTTAAATATAAGCAGTTTGATAGTACTAATTATATATTGTATATGCTATAACTATGATATGTACAATTTGAATTGTTTAATATCTAAATATTATAGATTATGAAGATTATAGCAATAACAAAAATATTGTGAATTGGATACAAGTCACAATTTCGAAGGTTTAACTAAAATGGGTAATTTTAGGATTTTTTTTATGTAAATCTATAAGTAGTTTGAGCTTATTATAAATTATCTAATATAATACATTGCAGCTGACAAGAATATTACTACTTATAATAGTAAGTCTCGCTATTGTGGTGTTTGTGGCCAAGCAGGCCATAATTCTCACACATGCAACTCTAATGAACCAAATGATTGTGAAAATATTGGTGCTGAAAGTTTAACAAAAACAGGTTAATTATTATCTAAGATTAATAGTTTGATTATACCATATAACAATATTTCTTAATATATTATGTGTATTATAGTTGACAAGAACCTGACTAGTTGTGAAAATAAGTTCCGTCATTGTGGTTCTTGTGGCCAAACTGGTCACAATGCTCGCATATACAACACAAAAAATTAGTTGTTCATAAGTATGAAAGAGTTTATCATGTTTACAAACATTATACTTGTTATGTTTATGCATGTATACTATTGTAAGTTGTATTATTATACTTGATGAATTCTGTAATTGTAAGGAATATAATTAGATTGGGCCCAATGTAATATACTATAATGTAGTGGCAGTAGATAATAGGGCATGAAGCATATAGAATTTAAATGCATTTTTTAGAAATAAGGGTTTGAATATGTTTTATATAGAGTGTATCAAGTTAGGATAAAAATGGCTTTATTTTTTTTACTATTGCTTTACTATATGCTATTTTATGTTTGGTTTAATCCTTGAAGATCATAGTTAAGTTTTAACATTTTTACTAAAGCAGAAAATTTAATTATAACATCAAAGAAATGTTTAAACTTAACTGTATAGACTGATTAGTATCTTGTGCTAAGTTTTGTGATTGTCATTTAGCTTATTCAGTTCTATAGATTTGTAATATTTAATTTTACAAGCCTAATCAAGCTAATGACATCTTTATTAGTAAATAAAAATTTTAACTTATCTAAAGTGGCCCCAAAGTGCTATTACTTCCTAGTCGCAGTATATAAATTTTTTAACTAATAGTGTACTTCATATGCTGTGGCTATAAATTTCATTATATAAACAGTATTTTGGGGCCATCCTTGCTAATTCACATTTGTATTTATTGGTTCTAAAAGATATTATTATTATATTAACATCTATGGTGTTTAACACCTATGGTGTTTAGCACCTATGATACTTAGCATCTATGGTGCTTAGCATCTATAGTGCTTAGCATCTATAGTGTTTTGCACCTATGGTGTTTAGCACCTATAGTCAGTATTGTACATGGGACAATTTTGGACAATTTTGAACATTTTTGGACATTTTTTCAAATTAAAATTAATCAAAATTTTATTAAGATAATCTATTTTAATTTTTTTACCAATAAATCTAGTATCTAAAAAAATATAAAATTATATATTTTTTTAAATTATTTTATTGATTAGTTAAACATGAGACATAGGCTTGGATAATTTTGGACAATCTTGAATATTGGATATTTTACATAGTGTGGACACGTCTCATGTACAACACTGCCTATAGTGCTTAGCACCTATGGTGCATTTTAGTAAACCCAAATTTATTTCTTTATTTTTAAATTAATTTTAATTTAATTTGGTATTTTTTAAATTATATTTAATTTATATTCATTTATTTTTTAAATTTAACTTAATTTAATTTGTTTTTTATTTTTTTTTTAAAAAAATCTTATAATTTATTATTTTTTTAGTCATGTTTAATTTATATTGCTTTATTTTTAAATTTAATTTAATTTAATTTTTTTTTTTTTTTTAAATCAGATTTAATATATTTAATTTATTATATTTTTATTGTATTTAATTTATTTCTTTATTTTTAAATTTATTTTAATTTGATTTGGTATTTTTTAAATCATATTTAACTTAATAGGTGATTCTCCAGTCACCTGGAAAAAATTTTTCCAGATGACTGGAGAATCACCTATTAATTTATTTTTTCAATTTTTTTTAAAATTGTATTATTTATATAATTTGTTTTTTTTTTAAATTATATTTAATTTACTAGCACATAGGACCTGGTGTTACTTGGGTTCTAGTTTTTAATTTTTTCTAATTCTTAGGTTTAAACTATATTAACTTTTAGAACCTGGTATTTCTAGGTTTAAGTTTTTAATTTTTTGCTAATTCTTAAGCCTATATTAAAAATTTTAATTTTT